TTAGGATGTATAATACTGCTTCTCCTTTATCTGATTGGTTGGTTCATAGATACAGGTCACCTTGGAAACCTCCTATTGATTCGGCATCTAAATTTTGGCGTTCTGTCTGTGATACTACTGTAGCTATTAAATCTTGCTGTCACTTTAAGATTTCACATTCTGCTCCTATATCCTTGAGGTGGGATCATTGGTGCAATACTGTTACTATTTCTGATATGTTATGGGCTAATTATAGTGATGACATTCCGGACCTTCTCTTGAAGGATCTCACCTCTTCTAATAACTGGGTGTTTCCTGTGAACTTCCCCTGGAATTTGAGGGATATCTGTGAAAAATTTAGTGTTTCTGCTGATGATGGGCAATGTCTGTTATGGAAGAATAGTGTTAAATTTAAGTTCAGTAACTTTATTGAAGAGTATTATTCTAACATTCCTAACTGTTCTTGGTACAAGCTTGTATGGCCTAAAAGATATATCATTAAACACTCGGTTTTTGTGTGGCTTGCAATTATGGGGGGATTGAAAACTGTGGATGCCCTTAAATTAAGAAACATTGTTGTCCCGAAAATGTGCAGTCATTGTTTTTTACATAAAGAATCTGTTAACCACTTGTTTTTTGAATGTCAATACACCTTTGCCATAATCACAAATCTTATTCTAGGTCTTCATAGCTTTCTTTTAAGACCTAATATACTGTAGATTTTGGAATGGATTAACTCTGAGTATAAAGGTAAAGCTGATCTTAAAAATTTTTACAAAGTGGTGACTTCTTGTGCCCTTTATCATATCTGGAAAGAACGTAATACCAGGAGGTTTGGAAATTCTTCTCTTTGTCATTCTACTTTGCTGCTTTCAATTAAGAGGAATATCTTTGATAAGTTGTTGAGTTGGAAGAAATCATGGCATTTGTTGGAAAATCTATAATGTTTTTTACTCTATTTTATGGATGGCACTCGCTGGGTGTAGTATTCTGCTGTTGGGTGGTTTTATGGCCGTGCTGGGATTTTTTTGGTTAAAATGTGGCTGCACACTGTGAGAATTTTTGGAAAAAGAGTTAATCTGGTTACTATCTGGAAAATGTGGCTGCATTCTATTGGTTGATTGCTATTCAATGTACTTGGAGGATATCAACTGGAGGTATTGGTTTTTAACCTGGACGATGATGAAGCTCCAAACCGATGTTCGACATATCTACTCCCCTTGGATGGCCTTCGGGCAACCAGGGGTATTTGCCTCTCTCAAATTTTCTGAGTCCTGGTTAAATAATTATGGAGCTAGTTTATGCGCTACTGGATCAAATTTGGCTCTTGCTTGGTTATTTTCTCTGTTTTACAGGTACTCTGGCATCCTTCTTGCGGCTGTGCTGAACTTTTTGGCTGTTCTGTTGCTGGATCTCGGCAGTATTGGCTTCTTTTGGGCTCCTCTTCATTTCTGTTATGTTTATTTATTTGGCTATGCTAGTTGTTTAGGCCCTTTTACATGTAATTTTGGTCTTATGGGGTGGTATAGTTGGGGTTTTTTTATTCCTTGAACCTGCATAAGTTTTTGTCATTGCTTATGTATGGCTTTTCTCTCTTGTATTCACGTTTACATGTAACCTTTTTGTTTATTTATATATGGGCTTAGGCCCCAATTTTTCCCAAAAAAAAAAAGAAAAGAAAAGAAGGACCACAAAGGAGCTGGGTATTTCCGATCCTTCTAAAGATATTTGTATATCTTCCAAAACAAGCGAATCACGCGACAAAACAACAGCCGCGACCACAGAGAAATTTCGATTAAATCAGGATAGTATCATGTATTTCCTGATATGGGATTGAATTTAAAATGTGTTTGAAAAATGTATTAAGCTCAAATTAATATTTGGATAAACCCATTGGTCTGAAATTAGGTTCAAACTTGACCCAATTTGGCTCAATTCAGGCTAACTCGGATTCGATGCGGCTCGACTACACTAATAAAAAATCAAACTCAAATTAACATTGATTCGAATTGAATCGAGCCTGACGAGGCCCAATCAACTCGACCAAAAGCGCTCGAGCGCAAATTAGGATAAAAACGAGGGCAATAGTTGTTCATGTGTCAGTTTATGTAAGAACTTATATGTCTACAATGTGTTTGTTTATGTTGAAACTTCTTTCTTAACATTGTTCTTGACATATTTTATGTTCAATTGCTTTCGTAATTGTTCATGTAGTTCATTAGGTTGTAATGTTTGTTTGTTAATATTGTGTTGGTTGTTAAAATTTGGTGTTACATTATGCTGCTCAAAAGATCTATTCATACTAGTATAGTATTTCTGATTAACATTTTTTTTCAGTAGAAAATGGTTTGTTTAATTAAGTTCACTAATCATAGTTGTTGCGGGCTAGAATATACGCGGCGATAGAGTTATAATTCTACGTCTTAGCATTGCACGGATATCCAGCTCACACACAGAGAATACAATATTTTTTACGTGGAAAACCCGGAAAGGGAAAAAATCACGGGGCCTAGCCCAGTTGAAAAATGATTCCACTAAAATTTGAGGAAAGTACAATGGTCTGATTTTGTCCTTGAAGACAACCAGATTACAAATATCAACTGAGGGTTTTAAAAAAGTCCAACATCACTCAACTGTCAGATGGTGGTCCGACGGCACTCCGGTGTCAGGCGGTGGATTGGCAGTGGCACTTTAGTGTCATGGGGTACTTCAGCTTTGGATGGCACTTCGACATCCCTTGGTGGTCAGTTGGTGGTGTGGCAGAACTACGGCGGTGGTGCGGCAGCACTCTCGCGTCCCTTAGTGGTCCGGCTGTGGTGCGGTAGCACTCCGGCGTCCCTTGGTGGTCCGGCAGTGGTGCAGTAGAAATACGGCGGTGGTGCGACAGCACTCCGGCGGTGGTCGAGGAGGAGCTAGGCGGCTGGAGCTTTCTTCCTTCTTCTCTCTT